GAGTTGATTACCTATTAAATGTTATAATCCTAAAGGGAAATGTTTTTACCTATCCTATTAGTATAAATAAAGGTACAATGGGGTGAATCAAACACACCTCACAATTAAATCACTTTCTCTTCTCTCTCAGTACCATCGGCCCCTCTCCTTCTAAACCCTTAGATCGTTCATTATAGTTCATAGTTTTTGGATATATGAAACTTAAACCATATAAACCAACCTTTTCACAAAATTAATTAATTAATCTACTAATTATGTGTAGAAAATAAAAGAAAAGAAACGAAAAGGGAAATTGGCTCTTAATTTTTGCCCAACCAACAAGTTATGGGTTAATTACTGGGTTTATTTTGCAAGTTGAATCATGAATCACATTACCTATTTTGATGCATAAAATTAGATTGATTTTGGACCAACGTAAATTTGACTGTGAATCACACAACTGCACAAGAACACGAAGATATATTGTGGTTCACCTCAAGTTGGGACTACGTCCTCACTGGTGTTGATTCAGGTTTCACTATGTAAATTGAGGGTTACAATGTACATGTATACTATAGAGGCTAGGGTTTGCTCTCCTTGCTCTTCCTTAAAGTGAGGGTGAGGGAACCTTTTATAGAATAAGGATTTCCTCCCCTCTTCCATGAGCCATGGGCTAAGTAACGCAGCCTAAATATTGAGGCCCAATTTATGGTACAACAAGAGTCCCCCAAATCTTCAGTCAAGAGAGTCTTTTGGCTGGAGACTTCAAATTCAATCCATGTACGGGCCCAAAATGACTAGATGTCGTCCAGAACCGGTACTCGACATGATGTGGTACTTAATGTGAAGCAATACTCAGCCAGATGTAGCACACGTTACAAGGCTGCTCGGCTGGAGGCGGTGCTCGCAGCGAGGCAGTTGCTCGGATAGAGGCTATGCTTGTTGCAAGACGGCTCAACTCGTGGCATTTCTCGTTGTGAGTATGCGTCTATGTGAGTGTGCGCTCAATATAAGTTAACACTTGACATGTCTCGGGTCTACTTGTCGGGTTTGCATATTAGGTCTATGTGTTGGGTCCGCAAATTGGGTCCACACATCGAGTCTTTGAGTTGAGGCCATAAGTAGGGTCTTTGAGTTGGGTCCATGAGTCGGGGTCCGAGCTCAAGGGTGTCCAAGCTTTGTGGGTGTCCAATCTCGTAAGTGCCCGAAAGAATGGGTGTCTGAACTCACAGGTGTCCAAACACATAGGTATCCAAATGAGCGAGTATCCAAATGAGCAGGTGTTTGGTCAAACAAGAAATCACCGTTCAGATTGGATCTTTGTCACCATAAGTATGTGCCGAGTAGTGTGGACTACTATTACATTGTGATGAGGGTCCCTCATAATTACCCATTAACGGTACTAACAACAAATATATAAATATAGCATGTTTTTTCTCCATTAGGATCGCAAACAAGTGCCAAAGGGTAACAAGTTCTAATATAGTGCCCCATTTGCATGTGGTATGTTTAAAGTGATATGTACCATACTAAAATATACTGAAGTGACAAATTATTCTATATATTCAGAGAATAATCTAACTGCTATAGTTTATAGGAACAATATTTGTGCTTGTAGTACTTTGGACTTAAAATTAGTTTCGTCCGTGCCAATATGCATGTCGTCAACCCAATTTATCTACATAACTTACGTATTACTTGCTTTCTTAAGAGATGTAAAGAAAGAAAATGAAACTCGTTATTGGTAAATTTTTACCCTACTTTTACATGTAACATGTTTCCTCGTGAACCCTTTCTTTCGAGACCAAAATCGATCCTCATCAAGTTGCAATTTAGTTCTAAATGCAAAATTTTCGAAGGATAATGTAAACTAAGATTAGATGCTAAAACTGTTCTAGTCTAGATGCCCATGCATGATTAATGTAAATGGGACCCTTTTAATTGCTTTGCATGTCACAACAGCAGAGAATTCAAGGAAGGGTTTTTGGGGTTAAACTAAAGCGACAAATAGTTGATCGAAAAAGAAACTGAAGTGACAAAAAAATGTATAGTAACCTCATGTTCTAGGAGATCTACTCGGGTTTGGAGTACGTTGGACTTAATATTAAGTTGGCGGATGCTATTAAAACCACTCGTTAGCCTTTAAAGTAACTTACATGTAACAAGTTGTTCTTCTATCTTTTTGTATGTGACTAGAGATACAGAGAAGGCTAATACAATGACGGGTTCACGATAAAATCAATGTGGCCAGTTGATTCTTGAAAAAGGTTTTGGGAATCTAGTGAACCCTTGATCATTCGGATGTTAACCACTTCATGCACATATGATATTCGACAAAACGCATTTGTAAGACTCAACACTGCTTGGCATCACCTTTGTGTGCATTGTTGTTAGCATCTATCAACAAACGTTCTTGCCGTTTGTCGACCTCTATTTACAGACTCACACGAAAGTTGTCAGCACATGTCAATAGCCGCACAACATGCCTCAACATATAACTAGCTCACCAACTATTCGAAAAAATACCATAATATCAATTTATATGTTATTTCCGCTACAAAATTTTGCTTCCACACACTATTTTCTCACTGACTCCTCAAGAATTTTATTCTAGATCTGCCACTAGACCAAGAAACAAAATATTGATACATTTTTGCTCTTTTTACGTGTAACGAGTCTCCTATTCTCTTTCTTAAGACCTGAATCCTGCATGGACCTCATCAAGTTACAATCCCATTCATGAAATAAGTTCTAAGGGCAAAGATTAACCAAGATTGAAGTCTAAGAGCCTAAAATTGCTCTGAAGTGCGGGTGCCCATGCATGAATAATGTAAAATGGGACCCTTGCCATTGCAAGTCACAACACCGCACAGAAATCAAGGAAGGGTATTTCTGGAGGTTTCATAGGGATTACCATACACACACACTACCGGAAAGAAGGAAACACGCAGAGATTGGCTGTCATATGGAAAACCACTCAGCTTTTGGGGTTAGCTAGATTCCATAGGGTGGCATTACCAGTCAAACATGGATGACGCACATGAGCCCACCTATGACATGATCGAGACATGGAGGAGGAGATAGGAGTCACAGCAGCTTTTTGGTCTGTCTCTTTCCCACCTAAAGTGAGCGAAAAAGTGGGAAAAGGACTTGTGTCTTCTCCAAGCCCACCAGTTTTTTAAATCAGAACAAAACCTAATCTCCCGTGGAGGAAAAAAATCAAATCTACCATTCAATTCAATGAATTCACTTCCTCTTTGGGAATTTAATTCCAGCCACCGATGATGGAAATTGGAGTTATATTAGATGCGTAAAAGTTAAAATAAGAAAATGTCATTTAATTGAGAAAAATGATTAATTTTTTAATTATTAAGTCACAAGTTAAAATATTATTTACTTTTGCACATTTTAAAAGTAGATTTTTAAACTTTTCAAGTTGTTCGGATTAACGTCACTTTGGTTTGACGTATTAGTTCTAGACTCATAACATTTGGATTCTAGGACAACAACGAGATCTACAATAGCGTTTCTTCAAATTCATATGTTAAGAGCACAAAACTAGCGTTAATCCGAACAACTTGAAGAATCCAAAACATTTGCTTTTGGAATGTGGCAGTAACCAACAATCTTTTAACTTGTGAATTACCAACTTTCCGATCACTTCTCTTAATAAAAATGACTACACTTCCTTCTTTTAACTTTTCTATGTCTAAAATAACACCAATTCCGTCATCAGTCATGCACTCCATTGGTTGGTTTTTATGTTAGTAGTAGTAGGAGGAAGGCAACTGCTAGGATCAGTCGTTCACATACTCATAAATAGTTTAGAGTTTAGGCTTTTTGAATGTAAATGCAAGTGAGTTCTATAATGAAGCTTACATTCATTAACGACTAGACTTCATTTACGAGTGGGAACTTTTTAACTGTTATGAAGCTCATATTAATACGAAACTTATATGCATCAACGGCCAAAATTCAATTGCCCTCTTATAGACTAACATACATTAATGACTTGACTTCAATTGCACAAGAGTAATTTTTTATCCTAAGTACATTTGAGTCTTATACGAAATTCATATGCATTGACGGCCAAAATTCAATTGCCGACTCCTACACTAACATTTATTAACAACTAGACTTCAATTAAGCATGAGTAAATGCCAAAATACAGTCACACACCCACACACGAAGGAATCTGATATCATTTTCCCGAATGCAACCTCACAAGCATTTACTTTTGGAATGTAGTCAAGGACAATTTAACTTAAGCGCAGTGGTTTGTCAATGTTGTGAGTGGTCACCTCTATCTTTAGGGAGTGGTACCACATGTAGAAAGGGGCTACTGCCTCAGTACTCAGTAGTCTTGCAATTCCATGTGTTAGATGTTGATCAGGATAATACTTTTTCACCAACCACATGGGTTGATAGTCTCCCATCGCAAATAAAAAAGAAAAAGAGAGAGAGATTGAAAAAGGCTCATCTGGGTAGGAACATATTGCTGTTATGTAACTGAAATACTACTTAATGGAGTCTACAATTTACAGAAAAATGAAATGGCTGTCTGCTACATTATGTGCGTAGTATTGAATAAAACGGTTATCGTATATTTATAGTTGCGCATGCTATGCACGTGATGTAACAAAAGTGAGACATTCGTTTCATAAAACAAAACACGAATACGTGAAGAAAAAAAGAGGGCAGGTTTATGTCTACATGCCAACTTGGTAGTGTTGTTTAATCCTTTGCAGAGCAGTTAGTGAGCTCCAGAATCTCATGGAAATTGAGAAGTTGACAACCAAATATGTAGTTTGTACCACCTTTGTATGATGCATCACATTGCACAGAGTTTGGATTTTATAACATTGTAACTTTGGTTAACAATCATGTGAGAAACTTTAGAAGAAACTTTAGAGAAATGATATACACATTATTTTCCCCTCTTACTCACCAATATTAAATCATGTTTGTTGTGTTCGTTTAATTATACACGTTGATGACCAAAAATAAAAGTGCACAAGCAATGAAAAGAAACTTTCAAATTTTAACAGCAGTTGCACCAAAAGTCCAATACTATAATTTAAAATTAAGCAGAAAATGTGCAAACTAATAATTTGTTGATGTGGCCAATAGAAAGCTTTACCTTGGATATTTTTGCTTCTAAATTACAAAATTCAATTTTTATGAGATCATATTAAAAAACTTTTAAATAAAGGTCCAACTATTTTTACTGCTCAGCAGATTTACCAATGAAGACTTGGAGCTTGATCAACTGAAAAGAAATTGCAGGACTCATCTGTGCTGAAAAAACTCTGCTCCTCCATCCTCACAGTCTGAGCTTGAAATCCTTTTCCACCCACTGATCTGGAGTCTGATAATTGAAACCAATTCACCATGGAATTTGAAGAAATTGAATTTCTATTATTATTAAATCCAAGAGATGAATTTCCATTGCTCTCTTCCTTCGTAAGAACGCCATTTGAATCACTATCTGATGAGCCATCTTTGGATTTCAAGTTCTTGATTAAATCCACCTCTAAATTTTCACTGCTTTTGCACGTTGAAATTGGTGATTCTTCCTTCACAGAATCATTCCTCTGTGCACTCTCTCCGTACAGCTTTGCTTTTAACTGGCTTAGCTGCAAAAAATACGAAGATCCCATTAGAAGAAGAGAAGTGAATTTCTTTCTGCACACCGTTGTTTATTTCAGACTTTTAGACTGAGTAAATGAAAGGAGGATCAAGGAACGTAATTAAACAGGGTGAGCAGAACGAAAAAATGGGTGTGCAGAACAAAATGTGTTTCACTAATATGAACCTTTTCAGCAAGAGCTTTATTCTGTCTCTCAAGGCTATCAAAGTTGAGCTTTAAACCATCATAGTCGGTTTTGAGGATGCTGTAGTCTCTTTCCAACTGCTTAGTCTTCCACCGTGCGCGGCGGTTTTGAAACCAAATTGCCACTTGTCTCGGTTGCAGGCCTAATTCCTCTGCCAGTTTGACCTTCCTTTCTGGCTCTAACTTGTTCTCAACCTCAAAGTTTCTCTCCAATGCCTTGACCTGCTCCGAATTCAACCGCCTTTTCTTCCCTGACATTTCTTCCTCAACATCTTCTTGGTTTAACGAATCTAACATTGCCTGCAACTCCTTGCTATAACCATAGCTGTCCTTTGCAAGCTTCCCCTCCTCTGCATTTACAAGTAATGGAAAAAAATTGAGACTCAAAATCCATCATTAAAATACCAAAGTTGGGAGAAAAACAAGTTGGAAAGGATTTTTTACGTTTCTTTTACCTTTTGATGGGAAATTGGAGACCAAAGCGCCCACTGAATCTGAGCTGCTGAACCTCTTCATAATTCACAACACAAGAAACCTTTGTTGTATTTTCTTCGAATTAGCTTTGTGCAAGCGGTCGAACAGGAGAAAAACTTACACGCAACTAGGTCGCCTGGGTTGAAAGGAAGCTTTTTGGTTGAATGACCAACGTGGGAAATGATGCTTCAAAACAGCTAGAGCGTTCACTTGCCTTTAAATGGTAAGACACTACGATCTAGAACAGAAAAACCAGACTGCTAGGGGTTCCCCCTTTGCCTTATTTTTCTCGGTTTCCTTCCTCCAAAACAAACCCTTTCAAAGAAGGAAAAAAAAATTGCATAAGTACACCTCACAAATCCAAAATCCTTTCTCCTACTTAATCATTATAGCAATATATATATATAATATATATATATATATATATATACATACATACATACACACACAGCTAGGAGTTACTGCAACTGGATGCAACAATCACAGACAGCTAGATTGCGTTGTTTTTGCTTTGTTGCTCTCAGTTGCAATTTGTACATTGAACAGCTGATGTGAATGGTTTGATTTGGACTCCCACTTCACTTTTTCCTTTTCTCCTTTTTGAATGAAGGATGGTAAGTCACGGTATGTGAAATTAAAAGGCTGGATTCAACCTTTTATTTTTTACTCCATGTCATAAAGATTGCTTTTTCACTTGGACACGAAAAGATTTTTTGTCCTAAGCATCATATTTAAAAATTAAAAAAAATTGTTTATTTGGGTCTTATTTCTCATGTGTAATATTAACTCTATTTTTTTAATAAGAGAAGTTGGACTTTAACCACACTAATTTGTTTCTTTTCAAAGTAGCTCGTATCGCTTTCCGTATAAAAAAAATTAAACATAACTTATATCACTTCATAATTTTAAACAGTTGTCATTAAAAACAGTTTAATTTGGTCCTACTACTTTTATCAGTTCATGTCATGCATATAAAACTCAGCGGATAGTTTGTCATTATTTGCAAGGAGGAATCAAGCATTGTCCAAAATGTCAAGTTCAAAGGGTAGGATGTGGTTTCAACGTTACCTTACATTAATCAACCCTAGTGGTGTTTTAGCAATTAGATTTAATTGTCATAACTGTTTTGTTTTTTTCATTTTTGCATCACTTCGTGTTACATACTACTAAAGAAAAATTACAAATTGTGATGCCACTAAGACTAGATGGATCACATTTTTTTAATATCATATAGGCATTAATAATAATAATAATAATAATAAACCTCAATAAGATATTGAAAACGTGTACATGGCACTTGAAATGTGTACATGACACTAATTGCAAAAGGATTGCAGAAACAACTAAATTGGAAAAACTAAAGCAGACAAAAGACGCACAAATAACTTAAAAATCCACGTGACCAAAACCTAGCATAATAGCATAATGTGTATTCAAACTCATGCAACCTAAAACAAATAAAACCCTAATTTAATCCATAAACCTAAATCATGACTAACACCATGAATGAAAGTCGCGAAGCAACATAACTCTGCATTTAAGTAACAAGACATTGTAGTATGTAGAACAATTAGTGAATCCAGAGAGTAGAAAAATCAAACAAATGTTCCTTTCATTCTCAATATGGGAGTTATATTCACTAAGACGAAAACAAGAAAGGATGAGAGAAGATGATTCTAGGGAATGTTCATTTTATTCTCAAATATGACACATTACACAATGATTCTACTTATTATTTGCAGTATTTCTTTTTCCAAACAATAGAGTTTATAATTTTCATTTTCTTAGGTTGCATGAACTACATGCCCCTACAGATTTTAAGTTAAACAATAGAGTTTACAATTTTCATTTGCAGTATTCCTTTTTCCAAACATTACTTGAACTACATGCCCCTACAAATTTTATTTAACGCTTTTACTTAACATTACTTGAACTACAAGTCACTACAATTTTGAACGTAGTGTAAAATTGTCATGTACGACGACAATGTTACTTAAATAACTGTTCTAGCTGAGTTCATGTAAATCTACTTAGTTGGAGGCTTGGGGAGCTGCCCCGTAGATGGCTACCAAATCAAGATAAAGTTTTAATACCAGGACGAGTCAACCGGTGACAGGTACTTGATGAAGGATAAGCTTCAGCTCAGTGGGACAGTGCATGTTACATGTCATGCCACTACGTATAAAATTCTGTAAAAGAAAAAATAAATATATTTCGTACATGTGCAACGAGCAGAATTGCCAAATCCAAACAAAGAAAAAAAAGCTGAATAGAACAGTAGTAACAAAAGAGTATCACCTAATGAGGTTAAGACAGGTGGATTGAAAGCTTCCAAACAGATAAACTCGCCCAATTCGGGGTAATATTTGGATGAATCGAACGGATCAGAAACAATGTTTTCAATTTGCATTCTAAAGTTTTGGAATTGGATCAGATTATATAACAATTTTTAAATTCAGAACTTTGAGCATATTCGAAATGTTTGGAATTAGAATAACATTGAAAATTTGGGAACATAATTCAAAAATCCATTACAAGTTTTTGAATATTTTCTAACCTTTTTGTACATGCAATTTATTGTTATTTCTTATTACTTGGTATATGCTTATGTACAAATCCATTTAATTGTGTATATTCTTGAACTTTTTCGTACATGCAATTCAATGATACGATGATAATCTTTAAAATTACGTGGCTCAAACATAGAATATGATCTCCAATGTGGTTAAGAGTCATTCCCTGTTCTAGATTCTTAATCGCCCCACTTATCACATTTCTCCAAGTCAAACGGCTAATGACTTGATGGAAGGGATAACGAGTCTCAAGCCCTCCAATTACAGTATGTCACACATACCTTAATGAATCATCTTCAAGCTTAATCCTACCAGTATATAAGGACTTGACCTTCAACCATGAAAGGTAACGGTTCCTCTAACTTCAAGCTCTTGAATTTTCATCATCCATTAGTGTGACAAGGTCTAATATGTTTATTATTTTCTTGGTTGTAGGAACGCTCAAGTAATTCTACTATTGTGTGGAATTCATTAACAACTGTTTTTCAACTATAACCATACATTGTCAATATAAGATGATTCTGAACCAAGCTTTAGGAAATAATATTGAGGAAGGCAAAGGCTTTTAACTCGAGATGAAAATGCATAATCTTCATTTGGGAAATAAGCTATTATAGACTAATTTTAAAAGTGTTTATGCAAAATAGAAATATAGACAAGAACAACGATATAGACATTATATTGATAGGGTGGAATATATCTAAATTACATTTTCATTTTATAGCACGTATATTGTATTAGATGGTTTTATTACGATATCGATAATGTTAAGATGGTGCAAATATTCTACTGAGATGATGTAGCTATTGTAATGTGAGCATATCGTATATTTGTAGCATATAATATATTGACATATGGTGATAATTTCCAACACAGTGGCAGATAATGAATAGGGGGAGAGGCGAGTCACACAAACGCTGCTCGTCGTTCTGTTCAATACTGAAATGAATCCTAATTATCAATCACAAAGCAACCGAACGAAGAAGATAAAGTGAAGAAGAGATTGAGGCTCTGCAGGGGTCGCATTGATTCGGTGCCTTCAATCTGGAACTGCTTGTTGATGGCTTATATGGAGGAGCTTCTAAATTTTTTGGCATCATCAGATTTTCCATAGCAGTTTCTCTATATCATAAAAAAATGCACATCCATCTTGGCCTACAATGTGATTTTGAGGTCGAAATTGTACGTCTAGATCTTAGGTTCTTCATCCTAAAAATAATTTAGGTTGGAAACTATTTACTCATCTAAAATTTTAAAGTGTAAGGAAAAAATATCTAGTTGAATATAACTGAAATAAATATGCGGATAATCAAATGGCCAAACAATTTTTGATATAATAATTTTTGCATTGGATCGTGGAATTTTTCCCCCTAGGCACGGTGAAAATAGAAAATATTTATAAAAAGGAAAGAAAAAGAAAATGTACACAAGCCATGGCTTTATTTATCCAACGGTTGCTCAACTTTTGTTGGCCATGAGGGGCACCCATTAAAGGAGAGGAAGGCACATTCATTCTCTCAGTTTCAATGGATTTAGGTAGAGAGGAATAGGTAGGTTTCCCCTTAAGGAGTCTGATTCGGTTGCCTTGCAGGTTGGGGTTTTGCCATAAAATGCTAACAAGAAATAGGTTCCTTCTGGGACACTTCATTTGTGTCACTGAGATTAAGGGCACTTGGTCCCAAAGTCTCACTTCTTCCGTATCCAATTTGCATGAGTTTTCACACCCTTTTGATGAATCCATTAGTTTCATTCTCAAGAGAGGGTTCTTTTTGAAAAGGATAAAAATAAAGCAACAAAGAAAGACCTTAGGGTTAGGGAGAAAGGAATATGAGACCCAAGGTTCCGATACTAGGGAAGGGGGAAATCAAACTTGAGACCTTGGGTGCACATGTGAACACTCTCAACCAACTCAGTTACATGAACCCTAGAGGGAAGTCAGCATTCATTATTATGCTCTCATATGTTTGTTTTAGCAAGGGGTAGCCGAATTTGTTGAAATGAAAGAGAACAAGATACACTTGGTGTGAATCGTGAAAAAATGGTTTGGACAAAAACCGCGGAGAGTACAATTGAAAGAGTACTTATATTATTGTGGAATTCACAATGCCGTACCACAATTTGTCAATGTCAGTCATATTTTCCTTTCCCATGTTGAGTCAAGTTCTCAACACTCAATCTAGAAATGATCTGAATTTCCAGCGTTATTGTGTTTTTGAGGTTTTGAGCATCTCCACGAGGACTTTCATACAGTGGGAATGCATCTACTACGGTATCTCAAATCAATTATACATTGCCATGCTTGGATACACTACAATAACATCCTTGCATAGCATTGCATGATTGGCTTGAGATAGTGGCACAACGACATCGCTGTTGTAGGTAAGTTTTTCTCCGCTAGAAATATGTTTGCAAGGTATTTACATAACATGTGAAATGATACTCTAAGTGTGCTTGGAACACAGGATGGAACACCACATGTCGTTATACAATTGGAGGGACACTTGAAAAAAAAAACTTTTTTTTTTTTTTTCAAATTGTATAATGACATGTGGTGGTCTGCTCTGTATTCTAGATACTGAAAAATCTCTCTTCTGTATGTAATTAGGTCACCCAAGGACCAATGCACAAAAAAAAATTAAATTTTACAATACAAGCTATAGTAATTTAACTGCATTTGATTTCATATTGTTTTAAATTAAAAGCGGTGAAGACAGGGAACAAAAATGGAAAGGTAATCTTTGTTAGATCCTATTCTAAAACAAATTTCCAACACTATGAATCTTGCAGTTTTTAGCTGCTCTGCGTTTGACCAATTAGTAGAGAAAATTGGAGGAGATAATCCTGTAAATTCTAGTGAAACAAATCAAGGGCAAACAATTTTAGGCCACCCTTACCTAGTTTACTTTCTTCAATGTCAACCTCTTCTCTTGCAAAATTTATATAAGCCTAATCTGCGCGCACTTCTAATCTTGGGTTGATGAAAATGGAGTACAGCAGGAAGATATGTCGATTCAAATA